CATGGGTAAGTCCTCCTGTGACCCTGTCCTCCTCTGGCTCTACCTGCCTCTCTCCCCACACCCGGGGGGCAACCCTGAGGCCCATTTGATCAGGCTGTCTCTGACCAGAGGTTTTCTTTCTCAGCCATGGAGGCATCTACCTTTGCTGAACTCAGATAGACCCTGCTCCAGGCCAGGAGAGGAGCCAGGGCCCCAGGGACTGAGTGCCCGTGGGAGTGAGGGCAGTAGATGGGGGGTGCTCAGCGTCCTTGGAGATGCCCAGGCACTTTCTGGACATGCTCCAGACAGGCAGGTTCTGGCAATGCCAGCTGGAGAGGATGTGAGGTGATTTTGTGGCCCTCTGGGACCCCCCATCCTCCACACCTTCCTTTATCATTCCCGTGTGACCTCTGACCTGTCTTCCTTACTCTTATCTGATTCTCTTCCATGTGTTCTCATTGTTAGCTGGCCCTCTCTGGCCTTTCCCAGCCTGTCCTTCATGGTTAGGGAGGAGAGGCTTCTGGCTGGATGGTCTTAGAGGAATGGCATTCATCTCTGTGTCATAGTTTCAGTGTCTCTTCTCTGCTTGCTCTCTTTGGGATGGCCTGAGGCAGGCCTGTGGACTGACAGCCTCTCACTGCAAGACAGTGGCACGTGCTTGCTGGGTGAACATTGGCAGGAGTACTGGCCAGCCTGAGAAGTCTGGGGAAGATCAGGAAGATCAGGAGAGAGAGAGAGAGAGAGAGAGAGAGAGAGAGAGAGAGAGACAGAGAGACACTGAGAGACAGAAGCACACACAGAGAGAGACAGGGACAGACAGACAGAGAGGCAGAGACAGACAGAGAGACAGACATACACACAGAGAGAGTGTGAGCCCTGCTTTGGGGCAGGGTGGGAAGGCCTCCACAGACCTGCTCAGGTTCTGTCTTTATCTTGGTTCCTTTCAACTGTGTTCCTATGCTGCTCATGAGAGAGGGCATCACCCACTGGTGTCTATTCCCTTTCTCTGGGAGCAGGGTTCACCTGAGGCTATGGGGGGTGGGGGAGCAGGGTGTGGGGGTGTGACTCTGGCCTCAGCACTGGCGGCTGTGTGATAACCATTTCTGACTGAGGATTCCGGAGTGTGGACTGCAGAGCCCAGTGTGGCTTTGGGAAGGGTGTAGCCTGCAGAAAGGGTGGAAGGATGAGGCCCCTTTCCGTGTGCCGGGCAAGCCTCGCACAGCCTTGGCAGCAGCGCCAGTGCAGCTAAGGAGCTCTGGAGGAAGAGGGAGAGCTGTGGGGGTGGAGTAGAGGAAGGAGCTTCAGCCCGAGCTGGGAGGTGCAGATCTGTGTGGGCTGGTGTCAGTGGTGACAGGAGCTGGTCTTACTGGAGTGTCATGCGTGCTGTGGAGCTCGGAGGAGCTGTGACCACCCCAGCAGCCCACAGTCCTCCGGCGGCTCCCCGTGTACCCCCTCCATCTCCCAGATCTTCACAGTTTCTGTCCCACGGAAGTTCCACCCTCTATAGCCAGACCTGGACGGTGTGGGGTCATGGTCAGTGTGGACGTCTCAGACCTGAAACAGGAATGCCACCCAGCTGGGCTAGACACTGTTCATCTGCAAAGGGCCTGTGAGATGAGTTGGGGTGCCGCAACTGAAGCCTACATCCTGGTTCAAGATGGGCGAGTGGATCGAGACAGGCGGATGGGTGGGTGGTGCCGTGGGACTGTGGCCCAGAGCTGGGACATCTGACTTCCTGTCTGGGCCTCTTCTCCTTAGCAGCTGAGTGATTTGCTCAAATGCCTGGTCTCTCTGTTCATAGTCAGGCTACCCTGAACGACCATTGTTTTTGTTTCTTGATTCACCCCCCACCCCAGTTTGGTTTAATAAGGGTTCCTTGGCCAGTTGTCAATGCCCCTTCTCTGCTGAGCTCTCAGGCTGTAGTGTGATCCAGGCGCTCAGCCGGGGAAGGCAGGCCTGTGTGTAATGAGGGCAGGCCTCAAGCACTGGAGGAGGCCACGAGGCTAATTGCGCTTTCCCGTCCTCAGCCCACTTAGCTCAATTTGTAGGTATTTATCGTTGGCTGTTTGTGTCTGCCTGTCGGCTGAGCTGAGTCCTGTGAACGCAGGGGTGGGTGAGGGCTCGGTTCCTTTGACGCCACACTTCTTCACAGAGTCTGGCACACGGCAGGTCGTGGTGCTAGCTCTTCCTAGATGGAAGGTCACCTTGTACACAGAGCATTTGTTGTACGTACTAGGACAGAGGCTTGTCACTGAGAGCTGTGGGATATCTCAGAGTCACAGGCCCTGAGTGGCTTGTGGAGGAGTCACTGTATGGACACATGTGGCAAGAGGGTCACCTGTGGGCCCTGCTGTGCAGGATCCGGTTGTCTGTTCCCCGTGTCCACACAGAGTCCTTGCCTGGAGTCTCATGCAAGCCACAGGCAGGCAGCTCCCAGAGTATCTAAATAATCTACTCTTTGTATTTCCCATCCAGGATCTGGGGGACCCTGATATCTTCTTGTCATAGACGAAATCTTGGTGGCTGGCTCAGTGTGGTGGCTCATGCCTTTAATCCCAGCATGCTCTGTGGTCTGTGTGCATTTGATGCCAGCCAGGGCTACATAGCAAGTTCCAGGTCAGCTTAGGTTACATAGTGAGATCCTGTCTCAGTAAAGAAAGAGGTAATAAATTTAAAAAAAGAAAAGCTTTGCGATTGAGAAGGGGAGGGTCTCCCTCAAGCATCCGAGCTGAGCAGTAGTCCCAGCAGGTCCACAGGGCGAGTCAGAGGTGCCAGACTCCTCCCTTTTGCAGACAGGACCCAGCATGGAACATTTAGCTCTCCCTGGTCCAGGCTTCAGCTACCCAGCCTTCCCTTGGGAAAACCAGCCTGTGGCCAGTTCTGCAGGTGCTGGGCTCATGCCAGAGGCCTCTTGGCAGAGTTGTCAGGCCTGACTCTGGGTGGAGAGGAGCAGGAAGAAGGATTGCACAAGGGGGAACTGGCGGAGGGCCCCTGCTTCCGATGGCTGTTGCTGCCTTCGGGGGAGGGATGAGGGGCTGCTTGCCAGCCAGGAGGAAATGACAGTCCAAGGCACAGCGTTTCCTCCATCCTCTCTGTGTGCTGCCCA